CTCTTTCTCTCATTATCTATCTATGTATCGTTTTTTTCATTCTTTCTTGCTCCCTATTTCTCTTTGTTTCTCTGCCTATCTTTATCTAACTAAAAGGATAACTCGGTCTGTTTCGACCAACAAAATTGGTTGCTGGCAAGAACTTGCACCGTCCAGAGGGAGGAGGATCTTTGAATATGTTGCAATATTAGGGAGCAAGATGTGACTTTTTATTTTTTTTAATTTTGAACACATTGAGAGAGAAAGTAAAGTGGGCTTATCTCAAAGTTCCCCACTTGCAGAGGATGTTTTGTGTCGTTGGACAACCCCTACATATAAGCCCTACTTAAGGTATTTTACTTTGGAAAGAATATTATCGGAACGCGAAGCCCGAACAATTACTTAACGCAAAGGATCAAATAATACTTGGTTGGCTTACCTAACCATGATTGATGTTTATTGTTTACTAGATTTGGTCGACAGGTCACGATAGTTCAAGTAGTAGAGTAGCGGCGTATCAAGCCGAAGGTCGTGGGTTCGAATCCCGTTCGTGATACTGACTTTTTTTTTATCTCAACTTAAAAAACCTTAATTAATTGTATGATATTAATTGGTCAAGCGGACCACGAAAAATAGTGAAGTTAATCAAAGTTTTTAATGACTGGAACTAGGTATGATTATCCTCGTCACAAAAATATAGTAAATATGCACATCTCTTTTATTTTGAAATGTTTCATTTTTTAAATTTCCATAGTGCAGAGATTGTTGTACCTAAAATGTATTTTAATTTTCACATCCATGTGTTTTAAACTCTCTTGTTGAATAGTTCAAGTTATGTTAGATCTGTACTGATAAAGTGGGTGCATAATTCAACGAGATAAAAAAGCTATCAAGCTAGTGAAACATTCTACATTGATCTCTCTGAAGGTGACGCTATTTTTCTTCCCACAAATAGAATAAAGAACATGCTTAATAAGAAATGAAGCAATGATGAATGATATACTGAATGAACTTATTTAAATTTCATTTTACCGTTGTGAAAGCATTCTAAAGCCCTCTAATGAAAACCGGCCTGTTGATTTATTTGTTTTTACATTGAATTCTTTGTAAAATGAAACTAAATAAAATAAAAATGCACTGGGTGGACACGGATATGTATGCTGGAGTCCGGATGAGTCGACATTTCACACGTCTGGAGGGGGTGAGAGACCCAACTAAAAGTGTGTCAGGGTTGGGAAAAAAAATTATTCGCGGACAACCCCGTATAATTTTTGTTAAATTATTTCTACTTCTCGACGTTCCCTTAGAGCGGATGATATATTTGAAATCGTGCTTCTAGGTATTTTATTTATTTATTTTTGAAACCATAATTAGACATAGGCTTGGCCAATGACCATCAGCGGAGGCGTTGCTTAGTTACAAACTTGTAATTTACATAAAACGTATGCAATTGACTTTTTTTAACATAGTAATTCAGTGAGAGATCGATCAAACAAATTATCGGTCATTTTTCTTCTATAAACATATATATATATATATATAACTTTTATAATTATATGTGGTGATTAGTGACCGTTAATCGATAATTATTCAGAAATCGTGAGATGCGGTGTGGTGTGATGTAGGTTTCAGAAAAACATTTTCTTTATAATTATTACCCTTTTTCACTTGATGAAAATGTAAATAAATGATATTAGTAACGATAATAAGATTATTGATATTAGTCAAAATATTTATTAAGTCGCAAATTAGAGGAGAAAAGAAAGAAGAAGGGCTACGAAGGAATTTCTTTTCTTGCTTACATTGGGTATGTAAGGTATGTAAGATCATGGATAGGCGGATAATTGATTTTTCATACAACATACAACAAGAATCAGAAGATTAAACTTGGACAATGCTTGGTTATAGCAACTAGCGGAGTTTTTGCTTAGTTATAGCCTTATAATTTACATTCTTTTAACTAATTATTGTTTTTATGTAAGGTCTTGGTTGAAATGAAAAAGCTAGTTCCACGAGCGGGATTCGAATCCCCAGCGGAAGGTCATTGGTTCGAATCTCGCTCGTGGCACTAGCTTTTTCATTTCAACCAAGAACTTACATAAAAGAATAATTAATTGAAAGACGTAATTTGGTCAATCAGACCACTAAACACAATAGACTTATAATTGACATAAAAAATAAATATTTTGGACTTTTTTAACGTAGTAATTTAGTGAGAGATCAATCACTCAAATCATCAGACATTTTTCTTCCGTAAACATATAAATCTTATAATTATTACCCTTTTTCACTTGATGTAAAAAAATAAACTTACATATATCATAAAAATACAAGGGGAGTTGAAAATGAAAAAGTAAATAAATGATAATAGTAATGATAATAAGATTAAAAGAAAACTAATGATTATGTAATGTAATAAAGAAAATATAAGCACTCCAGCCAAGAGAAGGCTAAGGTCGGAAATCATCGGTGAGTAGAAATACTTGGATTGAATATATAAAAAAAAATATTTTTTTCATTGTATAAATTCACTTTTTTCCACATCCTACATGTATTTGTTAAATTTAAACAATGTTTGTAAATCCCAGGCACTGAAGATGATCTCAATAAAGATCGAAACGTTGGCACGATAAAGGAAATGTTTTTCTGAAACTTACATCACACCAGACCGCATCTCACGATTTCCGAACAACTATTAATATTGAAACAAAGATAAGAGTAGCAAATAAAATCATTTTAAATGAAACCGTTTTAAAAATTGAAATTTGGAATATATGGATAGTTCCATGCGGTCATACAATAATTAATTAAAAGATAACTAATTTCCAAAGCCATTAAGATATTTTAAAAGTTTCTCTCTCTAAAAAGAGTACTCTTATGAAAAATCTTGCCCTGAACTCTTTAAGGCAGGGACACACCGCATAAATGATTTTCAATCTCTGGTATATTGCAAAGGGTATGTAAATGCCTTGATGGAGATGCCTAAACATGCTACAAATTAGTACAGCAGCTCACCTCTCGCTTTAATTATCCAACTTATATAATTAATTGGCATCTCGTGAATTATGTAATTTATATCCTTTAAGTTAAAATTCAATTCCTTGTAAATCCTACCAGAGTAAGAATTCAAGGCTCTTGATGTATATTTTTCCCTAAGAATTCTCTTATTTTACGTCGTATAATTTTTAAATCATTGCCAACTATTTAGGTTACTTAAACTGAAGTTAAAATCAACTTCACTAGTTTTCGTGGTCCGCTTGACCAATTAATATCTTTCGATTAATTAAGGTTTTTAGTTGAGATAAAAATGTCAGTGTCACGAGCGGGATTCGAACCCATGATCTTCGGCTAGATACGCCGCTGCTCTACCAGTTGAGTTATGACCACCGCTCGTGACAATGACATTTTTATCTCAACTAAAAACCTTAATTAATTGATTAGTATTACTGTTTTCATTTAGTACGCTTGAATAAATTGCTAAGACCAAAAATCTTAATTATGCTGTTTTTGTGAGGGGTTGCAGCGATGAGGGCGTCCGACTCGTATTTGCCACGATGACGTTCCTGGGTTCGAATCTTGACTCAGCCCATAGAATTTCAAATAGTAAATAATATAAAAATGGATTGTAAAGTGGTTTGACTCCTCATCGACAACGCCCAATGGTAATTTGGACGCTAAGCACTCGTGTATAGTAGGAATTACTTTACTAAACTCAAGTTCAACAATCTTAGCTTTGATTATTTCATTTTTTTAAATAAAAATAATAATAACTTGATATTTGTCACCCAGTATTATCTCTGGTTTTATGCTTTTTCGGCTGATATTTAATAAACCCAATCTCGATTTGGCTTGTTATTGACTGACAAAAGTTCAACAAACTGGAATTAAGGAGAACTGGCATAAACAAAACTTTAACTGGCAAGGTTAATCGAAAATGTATTTCATAAACATTACTTCTTCCTAAATTAAAACTTCGTCCCGTTGTAAAGTTTCGATCAGTCCTTTTTGTTCATCATCATAAGTAGCATCACCGAAGTAAATCAATAGCATCTTAAATATTAAAAACTTTGGCAGTATTGTTAACGACATTTCAAAAATAACCCACTAACCTGATCAGTGTCGATCAGCTCGACTTAATTTAATAAAGGCTGCTGGAGTGGATATTTTCGTTAAGTAGCGAGCGACAAAGGCTTTTAGATGAGATAAAAAAAGTCAGTTGTCACAAGCTAGATACGCCGCTTCTCTACCACTTGAGCTACCGTGACTTCGATCCACTCGTGGCCATTTCATTTGTCGCCCAGAATCAAATAGGTTACACGACATTTGAAAAATAGCAAAAAGGAGGGAAAATTCGAAAGGTGGGGTTGAGATGGGAAGTTACTGGCCGAGTGGATCGAAGTCAAGATAGCTCAAGTGGTAGAGCAGCGGCGTATCTAGCAGAAGGTCGTGGGTTCGAATCCCGCTTGTGACACTGACTTTTTTATCTCAACTAAAAGCCTTAATTAATTAAAGATATTAATTGGTCAAGCGGACCACGAAAACTAGTGAATTTAATAAAAATTTACCTTAATTATTAGCAGAACAAGATTGAAAGTCACCATTGGATTATACGTATAAAATTAGTTTTGGAAATCTAGTTTGATGAAATATGTAAATATGTAAACACTCAGAAATTCACCCCGTATATTAACAAACACAACTACTGTAAGATGTCATTAGCTACAAATTATATAATTTCTTTCCTATTTGCTGTCCGACATGTCCATAAACTTGTCAAATCTTCGACCTGCTTAGTAGTAGACAAGACGACAAGAAACTCGTAGTAGGTTTAGTACCTAAAGTTCTAACGTTCCCCTCAATTTTTTACTACAAACAGCCCCCTCACGCGACAAAGAAATCCGAGGAGTACGAAGATCGTAAAAATTATTTACCTGCCCCGCCCCTTCGTTTCATGGCCGGACAGGGAAAATTGTGTACAAATAGATTTCTGATGAAATTGTTTTTCTTTTTTTGTTTTCCAGTAATAAGTGCCTTAATGAGAAGCGGAGGCGAGAGCTCGAGAACGTGTTCATTGAAGAGCTGGCCGAGCTCATATCGGCTAGTTTTGCTGATATGAGCTCACTTTCCGTCAAGCCTGACAAGTGCGCCATTCTTCAGGAAACCGTCAACCAGGTAATTGAAAATTATATTTATTTTTTATATATTCTTAACGTTAATTTGTCGTATTGGCTTATTTAAGGGGCTTTTGTTAATAAGCTGCTTGTAAATAAGTCCACAAAACCCTCAAACAATTTCTCAAAAACTCTGAAAACGCATTGAAGTCCTACTTTGTAAAAAAAAACTTTTCATATCAGCCAAAATGGTAGAAGGAATATACAGAAAATAAAACATTTTATATATATTTTTAAATAATGATGTTTCTTAGATAAAATTAGCTTCCTGTAAAAGTCTGGAAGCAACAATTAACTATCAACTAGTACAAAAAAGTCTTCCTGACAAAATTAAGTCAGCGATGAAGACAATTTGTACTTACATACTTTTAATATTTCATAGTAGCATGTTTTTAACGTCGTGGTACGAGTTGTAAACATGGTTCTAAATATGACCCGATAGTATCGAAAATTATGAAGAGCATAAAATAAAAAAGAGCCGTTTTAAGAATTGTTCAAAGGCTCTTAAGATAAGGCACATCATAAACCAAAATGGGATTGGAACGATTTCTTGAACAATGATGACAAAACATGTTTAAATTTTTCCATAATTAAACAAGTCTCGTTAATTTATAAATCCTCCGAGCATTTATCAGCCTTGAAATTGTGCTTTCCGTAAATATTCGAACGTAAAATAATAATAAATGTTTCGTTCTTAATTAAAAAAAGTATAATTTAATTTTTTTAATTACTTAATTTATTAAGAATGCAAAGTGTTAACACTAAATTCATTCAAATTGTACTGCATGGGGACCGCGGTAGCCGAGTGGTTAGCATGAGAGACTCTCACGCCGCGGTCGTGTGTTCGATTCCCACCGTCGCCTCTGGCCCTTTTTTCCCGATAACCCCCAATTTGAACAACATATATAAGAATTCGTCATGGCTAATATGCAAACATCATAAGGCAAACAAAAAAAATTGTACTGCATTTTTTTGTAACTAAAATGATTGCTTGGCTTACCAAATCTGACCAAACAAAAAATGAACAACAATTGGATAAATTGTTGTAAAGATTAAATTGATAAACACTAAATATATATTCATTGGATTAAATATCAACAAAAAGTATCAAATATATGGAAGGGGGAAATTGTCGTCATTTTCAAAAACATGATGAAACATCACAATTTCGTAACAACAGAACCATTTTTAATTACGAGTTAATCGTCAAATGAACCCAATACTTATTTTCGACTTCGACAGGTCGATTGGAAGAGATGACATTAATAACCAGTAAGCGTGTAGAGCTATTTTATGACTATAAAGAGAAATAATGTAAATTTTTTCCAAATAGAAAATAAATTTCGATTGCCGTCCGTTCTCTAGAGTTCTGATTTAATTCGTATTCCATCTTATTTAGCCGAGTAGTTAGAGCGTCTGACTCAATCTTAAGACCCTGGGTGGGTTCGATTCCTACCAACTCCCTGAAATTTTTTGATCCCCGCACAAAAAAAATCTGTTTTTCCATCATTTTTCAATCCCTAATTTAAAAAGAAGCGTTTCAAAATCGTAAAAAGCTGTTTATTTCACAAAGATCGCTGATGAATTTTGTTTAGATTTTAAAACAACTGGATCCACTGAGATATGTATCAATGGGCTGAATTTTTTTGTAAACGTGCCTTCTGGACAGGGCAATATTTAGGTGTTGTAGAAACATTATTTTTATGAAATCCGAACCCAACACAAAACAGACTAATCCGTTTCATTATTACATATTATGATTACTGTCATCACGTCAGTGAACTATGGTCATCAACACATCCTGAAGGTCGCCTCACGTAGAAATGATCGCACCTATTTCAATATAAGTGCAAATTTAACATATATTAACATACACGAATCACTAAATCCTATTTACTTATTGTAGCATGCTTTACATATTTAATGTGGGAGATTTATGGTCCTACAAACAGCTGAGGTCATCGCCGACCCCCTGCGTGTTTTCCTTTTCTGGTCCGTCGTATTTTGTTTTAAACTCGTCGTAAGCTTGTGCTGCTGGGCCATCGTTTTAATGAAATGGATGACTCCACATCGTAAAACAAGAGAATAATTGTGTTAGCTAATTATAATTTATTACATAAATACACATAGATTTTGTTCCCGTTTATTTTTAAGGTGAATGTTAACATTAACAGGCTTTATCTATTAAAGCAACATATCTATGATTGCAACAAAACCCAAGCAAAATCCTACAGCACTCGCTACCCACCAGTTTGAACACCAAGACAATTTCGACTTAAACAATCCAAAAATATTACATACAGAACAAAACAAATATAAACGTAATTTCTTAGAAATGGTTTATATCAACAGAGATAAACACAGCATCAATTATAGAACAAATACATGCAAACTCAGTCGCAGCTACGCCAGTATCATTAATCATATTTCAGTACAGATAACTAACATACCTATATCATCACATTACATTCCACACATCAATTATTTTTCACATAGTCTAATTTCCCGACAATTCAGCTTTCCTTTTCCTGTTTATCCCTTTCTATATAATCCTGAAAGGATAATCTGGCCGAACCATTACCAACACATTTTTTCCCTTCGTCGGCTCCTTTCACCTCAAAGAAGCCGACGCCTTATACAAAAATGTCTTTTCTATACCGACCTTCAAATTCCAACGTATATAAACGCAAAATCTCACTGGCACTCTCGACACGACACGCAAGAATGGCACAATTACACAGAAGACACACTTTGAGTGAGTAGAAATACTTTGATTGAATATGTAAAATATATATTACATTGTATAAATTCACTTTTCCACATCCAAAATGTAATTGTAATATGGAAACAATGTTTGTAAATCCCAGGCCCTGAAGATGATCTCAATAAAGATCGAAACGTTGGCACGATAAAGAAAATGTTTTTCTGGAACCTACATCACACCAGACCGCATCTCACGATTTCTTAATAAATATTTATCTATTAAATTTAAAATACAAATGAAAAAAAAATATCTACACGAACTATTTAATCGCTTCGATCTTATTACTGGGTCTATAGTTTTATATGTGTACTACCTCGATATCCCAAAATATTAGTTTGGTACCTTTGGTTCTCAATTTCGGAATAGACACAAAATATATGCATACATGACCATCCGATACAAACATACAAGTCTTGTCACATTCACTCCCCCAGGGTACTCGATATTCCTCGAGGCGGAGTCGAACCCTCTATTATCGTTAACTTTTACTCCCCACTCGACACACATTCAAACCAGAGTACTCAATATTCCTCGGGCGAGGTTAAACGACCGACCGTTCCTTTCACGCTGATAAATTACATTCACTCCAATAAATTACAGTTTTAAATTTAAATTCCATTTCAAATATTTTTTTCATAAATGGATATGATACGTTGTTCAACGCTAGATTAAACAAATAGCCGATAGATAAATACCGTATCGATAAAGCTGATACTAGCTACTAGTACCTCAAGGAAGTATCCTAAGCATTAATATCTTTTTTGACTAAGGGACTTACTTCTAGCAGTTCCCCCCACCACTCAGTCGTCTTCTTCCACAGAAAACCTTAAAATCATATTTATTCAATAGATGTTTAAAACCGACCCAACATTAGTTTTGTGCATAACCTGGCACAGAACCTTAAGGGGGAACACACCCGACGCAACACTTGCGACGCTACCCCACGCAAATCCAAAGTCCAATTTTCTATAAGAATTATTACCCCCGTGCACATCTGCCGATACCATGCAACGCTACCCTTCTCTACGCTCTGCGATCCCCAGCTGTCCAGATTTTCGTCGAGTAGCATCGAGTACAGTCGAAGACAAAAGAACCGGACACTCATGTTTTTTTATTCAAACTACATGTATTACTGTCGGAACAACAACTAGGAATCACATTAATTCATTAACAACGAGACAAACGTGCATAAACACAGCCAGTGAGGCCTTCAGGGTAAAAAAATCAACTCTTTCCCTTTCCAATCGGCGATGAAAGCATAAATCGGAAATCTTTCGGGATGGGCTGTTTTCACGAAAAAGCACAAAGGGCCGGTTCTTTTCCGGTGTGGATCAAAAAATATATTCGTAGTAGTAAAAGTAGCCTTGGGTCTGACCCCAGGCTATTTATTACGTACATAGGATATTTTAACCACTCGTCAAGTTGAATCTTCAAAGACCGGAATTTAATAGTACTCTATATGTATTTGTTTTGAATTTTGAACCATTACTGCTATGATGTGTGTAAATAAAAGATTTTGGACAATCATAGGAAGAACGGAGTGGCCGAGTGAAGACGGGAACACACTTAACCGATTCAACGCCATGCGACGCTACCCGACGCAAATCCAAAGTACAATTTTCCATAAGATTGTATTACTCCCGTGCACATCTGCCCGATGCTAAGCAACGCTACCCTACTCTACGCTACGCGATCCCCACTTCCGGATTTTCGTAGGGTAGCATCGAGTACAGTCGAAGACAAAAGAACCGGAAGCTCATATTTTTATTTCAAGCTACATGTATTATTGTCGTTATATAAATTACAACATACTTATTTTAATATAAACCAATTTAACCGAGATAAAAAAATTCAGTTTTTATTTTTTCAAAAAATTAATTTTAATGGTTTGGTAGAAAATTGATCAAAACACCGGAATACCATTTTTTGATATAATGACTTTAACGAACAATTTATTATACGGTTTTGCTCATAAAATTACACCATTTTCGTCGAATAGCGTCAGAACAGGACTCTCATATTTTTTGTAGTTTATTTCAAACCAAGTATATGTAATTTCGTCGTTATTTTAATTACCAAATTCCTATTTTAATGTAAATCAAATTAAAGGACGTCAAAAATTCATGTTTTTATAAAAATGATTTAATTTTGATGGTTAGGAAGAAATTTTAACAAAACACCGGATTAACTCTATTTAAAACAATGAAGTTTAACAAACAATTTATTACATGGTTGTG